TTATTGTTTGTGAAGCTTGCAGAGGGTGGAATTTTGTTTTGGTCTGTTTTATTTTGTTGTTTGTTTGTTTTTTTTGTTTGTTTGTTTTTGTTTGTTTTGATTTGATTTGATTTGGTTTGTGGGTTTTTGTGTGTGTGTGTGTGTGTTTGGGGATGGGGGTTTACCTTTTATGATGTTTTATAAGACCCAATTTGCTTTATTTATTCAGAGTTCGTCTTGCCATTTGTAGAACTATAAATAGATCAGATTCATGGTTTATCCAGAAGTCTATCATTACAATGGACACTATATGAGAAGCAACTAGCCTAGACCAAAGTTACATAGTTTACAAAGCCTTTTTTTCTGGCAAGTGATTCCTTTTCAGATTTTGTCCCGGTACATCCCATCCCCAGATATTTTGTAGAAGGATGGAACTTAAAGACAGTACTAGTTGCTGTCAGAATACTTCTACCTGAGAGAATAAGAAATTCTCAAGAACAGTCCCTGTGTCTGAGACTACAAATTTAATGCCTTTGCTAAAGCAGGAAAATTGGCAAATAAAAATTATCAATGTTTTATATATTCAATATATATCCAAAATTTATATATTCAATAAAATATGAATAATTTTATCAAATAACGTTATTTTTATCAAATAAAATTATCAATGAAGTACTTAACATGCAATGAACAGGGTTGGTGGAGTTTAGACAGGAAAGGATACGTCTAGGACATCATTCATCTTGTCCTAGGGTTAACATATCAAATAGACTGAAAACAGCAGTATCCATTCCTGGAAATATGCAGCTGTCTTCACTGACTAGAGAAAGTCCCAGGTGAGTAGTACAGATGCAGATGTCTATACTGGATTTGTTTAAAGTTAGGTAAGGGAAATTCCACCCTGAGGGTTTACATGACTTTTAGATAAAATTACTGAATAAACTCTCTAAGAAGAAATTGCAAAACCAAAGAAATAAACAATTGTCATTCAGAGTTCTAACAGCCATAATTCCTTGGAAAAGTTCCAGGAATCTTTTCTATTATCATGATCTAAATGATCTTATAAAAATGTGGTTCTTCTCACATTTACCTGTTGTTCAGGTGTTGCATGCATCATTTTCCCACACCCTTCCTTCACTTTCCAGGCACAGCAATAACCTCTCAAACATCTCTCTGCAACAAGCATTACTTTCCATCATGGAGTTCACTGTTCTTTTTCCCTTCAGCCAAGGTGCTCCAAGACAATCACTTCTCCACTCTCCAAACTCTTATTCGCTGAGCTGCTTCTTTTTATTTTTTTTTATTTTTTTTCCCTGTCCCATATCAGTCTGTGCTTGTCCTTCTGCTTTTTCTCTTGTGTTTCTGTAACAATTTGAAGCTATATTTTACAAGTCCTTAAGTGCTTTGGAATTTTCTGAATTTCAAACTTCTCTGGCACTATATCATGCCTCACAACATTTTAAAACGAAACCAACTAACTGATATCCCTGGTTAGTTCATTTCCACTCCCTTCTATGCAACTGCTGTCTCAATACTACAGGATAATGCCAGCATCTAACCACAGACTTAGGAAGTCTGAGGAACAGATTACTTGGTACCTGGCATTTTGGTCTACTTTGGTCAGTTTGAAAAGACAAGGCACTCTCTTAAAACGAGAGGACTTATCTCCACTCTTTCACACATTATAGGTCATACTGCAGTTATTTTTAACAGCTTCCCCTAGCAAACTCCAAAATATGTATTTCAAAATTTCTTGATTTTTCCATAAAAAAAAACAATGTACACTGTGATTGAACATGAAATGGGCTCTAAAACTGATACTATGATGAATTCTTCTTCTTTCCTTAGGTCTTGGTATTTGTGGGTCCCAATCATTTGAATATAAAGCTACTGAAATCCCCAGTTGGAGACAAACAGGAGTCTTTTCATGTCAGCTCCACTGTAAATATTAGACATTTGCTGATGCTTAATAGTCTAAACCCTGAGTCAGCTATCAAAACTCCACAGCTCATAAGGGATCAGGCTGTGCTTAATATCTCAGCATTCATATCTGAATTGACTTACAGCTCACATTAAGTAAATATATTCTTAGCTCTACCCATCAAACTCTGTTAAGAGGCATAGAAGTTATGATGAAACCTGTGCAGTAACTTTAGTTTTGTTCTTCATCTGGCTTATTTACTGTTGCAAGCTAAAGTAATTTTCTGAAGGACTGAGTGAAAAATCATCTCTTAAAAATTCAAGGCAAAATGCATGTAGCATGGAAGGAAAATGTAAAGGGATGAAATGAGTCAGGGTATCATAATGAAAATCTTTTGCTGTTGTGCCAGCAATGTATAACATTGTTCCCAGAACAATGGAGACTCTAAATTAATGTTTGTTCTTCGAATGATACTATGAAGTAAGTTGGCAGTTTTGGTTCAACTGTCATTATAAAAAGGACTCCATATCACCCAGGTCATCACACTGTCTAAGATTGGCATCCAAATTTACCTTAAGTCAGCAGGAGGGGAAAAGGTTGAAACATAGGTTATGAATGACTTAACCCTGCAGACACAAGTGGTCCCTCAAAGTGACAACTGCTGGGGAAGCTGGAGAGGTTGGGGTTCTGCTCTCTTTTGTTTTATGTTCCCTGAAGAATTAAACAAAACAAAACAATAAACAAACATGCAACAAAATACACAAACACATCAAAAAAAAAAAAAAAAAAAAAAAAAAAAAAAAAAAAAAACTGTGAGGGTATAGGTATGGGGCTTTTCTATCCAAAACAAGTTAAAAATTATGGTGTTCCTAGCTGAAGCTGAAAGACAGACAAGAATTTCCATATCAATCTTTCATTTACACATTCGTATCAAGCTTAAAAAAAAAAAAAAAAAAAAAAAAGAAATAATGAAACAAACCAAAAAAAAAATAAAGAAAAAGTCTGTAGCCAAGATAATGAATTCTATCATACATCTTTAATTTAGATTTGGAGAGATAAAGTTTAAAAAATATATCATCTTCAATTATTCTGCAGGCAATATAGACACATAGAAATTCTACACCCACATAACTCATTTGTGAGGCCAGCAATATTTATGACTATAAAACCTTAGCAGAATTTATAAAAGCAGACACTTTTCTGAGTGAAACTTCACAACTATTTTTATTTTCTGATAATTTAGCTGCAACAGCAAAAAAAAAACAACAACACATATTCTGTGAGCCAAGTTCTCAGCTGTTGAAACTTAAGTCAGTGGCCGTAAGTCAGTTTAAATGACCTAAGAATGTGGTTGAGAGAGTTAACCCCTTCAAATCAAGAGCAACTCCATAATTGTGAGATATAGCTAGGTAAAGTCTACTAAAATGACACCTCTGTTTTCAGAAATATTAGACTTTTCTTACAGAAGAGAAAATTGCCCTTTCCAGCTCAAGTCATTTATAGTATTAAGACCAAATACTTTTTCTATTGCTACGTTAGTACTTTCTGTGTTAAAGCAGGCCAAATCTACCACTGTACTATGAAAAGACCGTAGTTAGGCTTTCACACTTCTTAGGGAAAATAAATGAATAAATAAATTTTAACAAGTCATGGATCCAAAGACTGTATTTCTTGGTAGAAACATTCTATGTTTATTTTTAAGAAAGCTCTCTATTTTCTGCAGTCCCTGTCAAATGAAGAAAAATTAACATACATTCTCATTTTCCTAGTCATATTTAATGATATATTGAGATTTTCTTTAAAAAGGTGGCTATAACTCTCAGGATATATGTAGATCCACTGCTCCCTGCTAATAGGTTCTCTTTCCTCTGAAAGAATTGTAGAAGTATGGTATTTTCAGATTTTAATACAGAAGAACCAAAACCAACACTTCTTCTACTCTGGAATTCATAGTGCAATTGTCATTTACTCTGCTTCAAAGAAGATGTCCTCCATTTGAGGATATGACTAAGATCCATAGGAAAAGGACCAACTATAAAAGAAGATGACCTGTTGTAAGCAACCCTTGTAGACAACACCAAATAAAAAACTTCAGTTAGTCTGACAGAACCCTGAACAGAGGATGCAATAAAGACGGAAACTGACTATTTTCTAAACTGATGCACATGGTTCCAGATTCCTTCAGTGAGGTAATCAGTACCCCCACAAATCAAAATGCTCAAACAAATATTAATGAGTACACCATGAGTCCTTCTACAAAATTTTTAGAGCTGTGTTATTTATCATTGCATGAAGTCCCTGCATAGTGAAGGTCTAATTCATAAAAACTACCTTTTCTAAGTTTAAGAAAAGAGGAAATGGGCTTAAGTTGCACCCAAAGAGGTTTAGGTTAAATATTAGGAAAAAAATGTTCACTAAATGGGTTGTGAAGTATTGGAACAGACTGTCCAGGGAAGTAGTTGAGTCACCATCCCTGGAGATCTTCAAAAAACCTGTAGATGTAGAGTTTAGTGACATGGTTTCGTGGTGGACTTGGCAGTGCTGGGCTGAAGGTTGGAGTAGATGGTCTTGGAGGTCTTTTCCAACCTAAATGATTCTATTATTCTATGTTCCAAATTAGCATAATAAAATGTAAACACAAATGTTAAGGTTATGTATATAGATAGCAGAAATACAGTCAGCATTACTGGTTTGAATAACTATGGAAACTAGAGTGCAGGACTTCCTATTGTATTTCTCTGGAAGTAAGCTTATACAAACATACTCACATACATGGAAAGAAAATAAATAGATGATAGACAGACAGACAGATAGATAGATAGAAAGATAAAGAGCAGGTCCACTAATATGTTGGTTGTCCAGCTTCTTTGCTAACCTTAGGTTTATATATTTATGGGTTTATTTAAATTTATATATTCATATTTCCCTGTTACAAGTATATGCACACTGTCAGAGTAACAGGCAATATGCTTAGAATGGTTTGTGTAATGATGCTGTTGAAGATGCTACTGAGCAATAGTCATTGTGGTTTGGTTGACTTTCAGACAGTATTTGATGATGAAAAACACCTGATGGATGTGACAAAAACTGACATACATGGTTTTTAAGAACAATATATTTCTCTTTTTTTTCCTTTTTTTTTTTCTACATATCAGAAAAACACATAAGTGAGAAATGAGTGTATAACTGTTCATAACCATCCAATATCTTCCTGTCCAAAACTCTGATTAGTTAAAGCAAGTCCTTTACAAATACAAGTTAACAGATTCCAGGAAAAATTCTTTTTAGAATAACAACAGAAAAGTCTCACAAGGTATGCTCTACAATTTAAAGAACAAGATAGCAAATGTACCCAGCATACAGTGTATGAGTGTCTTTGTACATTGTTTATTTGATTACCGAAGGATATGCACAACACTGCAAATCACAGTACCCATCATAAATGTCATGAAGCCCAAGATGTTTTGATGAATACCTTCAAAAATTCCTTTCTAACTATGAACTTTGAACTTGTTCGATTCTGCATAAAATAATGCTGTGAATATTTGACATAGTGTCATGTGTCAGGGATCATATTCAGTAGGTACATCATTAAAATGAATGGATTGAAATGAAAACGACAAAGAGAGTGGGAGGAAGGGATGGAAGCCAGGTAGGAGGGTAGGAAGCTAGCTCTCAGAAATGATTTCAAAATATTCTTTGTTTTGGTCAATCTTTTATGGTTTAAATGAGTAATTAATTACATTCCTGAGAGATGTGTATAAAGGAAAATCCACGGTGATATTTTTATAGGCATACTGAAAAGAATTATTAGTTTATATTCTAATCTTTAGTAAGTATTTTAGTAATACAATCTAATGAATAACAGAAACGGCTGTGTTTTCACACCATAATTGCATTACATGTCATTCACCCCGTTGTCTCCTTACCAGATGGCATACTGCTAGAATTTAGTGGATATATAAATGATGGATTTGGACTGAAACAAAATCAACCTTAACTTGTGAAATGCAGTTTACATTCCATTGTTGATTTCAGGACAAAACTGAAATATAAAAGCTGGAAAACCAGCAGAGGGAAATCACAAAGAAATATTATAAAGCCATACAAATGAATCACTGCAATTCATGCTCTCCATAGTCTATACTTTTTCTGCACACTCAGCTTTCATTGATATAGTGAGAGTGGGATAAATAAAATTACTATTTATGAAATTTGTGGAGGACACAAGAAGTGTTAAATACTATTGAGGACTGATCAGTTATATAAAGCAATCTGAATTGCTTGTTAAGCTGAACCTGTTCAAGTATCATACATGTAAAGAAAAGAAAAAGCAAAGTTATAGAAACAAAATTTGTGGTGTTCAGCCAGAAAAATTTGTAAGACCTTAAGAATAGGCACTGGTGTTTTAACTGGCAGAGCTTCTCAAATGGTCTCCAAGTCAGAGGATTCACACAAGCCAAAAATTCACACATCAGCACTGAAGGGGGTAGAGGGAGTGGGGGTTGAGGGGGGAATAAAGTTAATATGCTGTTTGTGTTGCCACAGAGAGAAGTGGCAACAAGATGATCTTACAGTGACATTGGTAAGAGTCACGTGAGTTTGTTATTACTAGCTCTGTTGTCCACATCGCAGAAATTATAAATGAAAAACTGGGGAGAACTATGGGAAGAATAAATATTCCCAATAGCTGTTGAAGGCACTATGCATATTGAAAAACAGAAATTTGGCCAAACATGATAGTTAATGAATAAGATAACAAACTGACCCAAGTATTCTTTCTAAATATCCTGAAGGTGAGAAAATGCCAGATAATAAAGGATTATATCCTTTATCCAGTCTAGTGAAAATGGGTTTTATGAATGATGAATAAATAAATTCACAATAGATATAACACTATTATTTTGGGCAGAATTATAATTAACCTTGTTTGAAAAATGCCATGATGCCTTCTAATCACATGGAGATATTTTCTTCTGTTATTATTTGGAATATCCTCTTTAATTAAACACTTAAGACTCATAAAATAAATAAATAAATAAATAAATAAATTTATGAAAGAAGTAATATTAAGTTTGGGGTGATATTTCTGAACCTTAAAATCTCAACACAGTATTCATGGGCCAAAGTTATTTGACGTAATCTCATATATAGACAGAAATCAAGGCAGAGATGCTGTCTTTTAAGTAAATGAACTATGTCATCTTTTGTCCCACTATAACAGCATAGATAAAATTTATGGTTTTTCTTATTTTCTGATATTTTATATTTAAAATCCACTTATAAGTGAAAAAATAGATAAGACAACATTTATATCTTTTTCTCCCTTAGTTATTATTTATACACTCATCTCCAGAGCAATCAATTTAATCTTCACTACAAATGGTATCTACCACTGAAGCTACAGTATTAACCGTAATTAGGGTTTCCAGTGGGATACAGACCCTTATTTCCCTTAACTTCTCAACTACAGAAAAGGACTGCAGGACTTGGCTGTTAATCCTGGAAAAATGAAAGACATAAAAAAAATTTGATTCATCTCACAAATAAACCTATAAAAAACACTATTAGGCTTTTATCAATAGGAACAACATAGTGCATGTTGTTGTACATGTGCAAGTGAGCACAAAATCACAGCTGGTATTTCTAATTCTGTCTAACCCAAAAGATATATGATCTCAGAAGTATCTGAGATAATTGTACAAACTAAATCAAACCCAAAAACTGAATTCACAAGTGGAAAAAATCTTTAATGTGTCATATATAACCATTGAACCATTTACTTTCCATGTGCATACTCTAATTTTTCTTATCACATATTATAATTATGAATATAATAACCAAACACGTGTTTACACCTCTCCCATCCACCACTCCAAACAAAACCTGCTGAGACAGTACACAAGCTTGTTGCTCTAGCATGCTATCCAGAGGGATCATGTAATAAGCCAGCTTGCAACTTCTGTAGGCTTTAAAACAGGAAATTATGCTGAACTACAAATAACCTTGTCTAAAAGTATTTTGTATGAGCAGAGTGGATACACACAAGAAATTGCACTACATGAGAATTTTGAATAAATTCTCTTTCTTTCACTGGTTTACCCCTGTATGAAGAAAAGCATCACTTTTCTCACATATTGCAGTTCAAGACCAACCCCGTTCAAATAGCATGCAGTGGTTATAATTACAGCTTTAAATCTAGACAGGAGATAGCCTTGTTACGGTGAGTGTAATTCACAGGAATTTTGACAACAGTGGAAGTGAGAAAACCTCTCTTCTAATGTAACAACCCGTATTGCAGCACTTCATCTTTCCACAATGCAGAACGCAGAGGCTTTTCAGTACAAGAGGGACTTGGAGACTTCAATAAAGCCTCATCCACACGGTAAGAGGAATTCAAATCTGTGAGGGTAGAAAGGAAAGGGTAAAACATTGTAGCAGTGTGTACCAATTCAATTGCTAGAGCTCTGTTTATATTAAATGCAATCCTGTGAGCAATTGACTCATGAGTAGCTCTCATGTTATATGTTAAAGTAATTAACAGAAAAAGCAGGCTGTGCATGAATTCTTCCTCAATTCAAGTTGTGAAAATGCAAGCTCAGTGCTGAGTAGAGCTAATACAGTTTATTTTGTTTGAAATCATCATTCAGGTTACATCTTTAAAACTATTTTGTTTGTTTGTTTGTTTGCTTAATCATATATAAAGCAACCTGTTCTATGAAGTTATACTTCAGAGTTTGGGGCACAGATTCTATAAATACCTTCAAAATTCTCATACCAACTGTGCTATCTGTCATATACACATTTTACAAATACCACTGCATAATGTACACATATATTTAAGTACAGATTTGTAAAAACAAATGCATTATTTTGTCTTGTTTTCTCCTATTCTGAAGATGTACAAACACAAAGTGAACTGAAGGATGACTTCCAGGAGACTAACTCCAGCCACTGCTTAATCACTATTAGCTATAGTCAGGGCACTCTTCTGCCCTAGGGTATTCAGACAGGTCTCCTTCTAAAAGCATTAGGAGTCACCAAGCAGGGGGAACTGGCCATAGGACTTTATTTGTAACTGAAACTGAGAACCAAAACTGTTCCATGGGATAGAGTGCTTACATTTTTCTCTCCATGTGTGTTCCACTAGGCAGGGAGAAGTCTCTTGTTTAGCACCTCTAAATAAAGATGCTGAATAAGTGACAGTTTATTTATGAAATATTGTATCATTTGGTATAACTGCAGCTGGCACAAAAATCCGTTAAACATATGTGAATGTTTGCAAACTTGTCCAGTGAAGGTGAAAACAGTAATATGTTTCTTCTTTAACCTTTTTCACCTGAAAATGTCAGTTGTAAATCAGAAAGTTTTACAAGTTATATTTAAAAAGAAATCTGCATAAAATATGCATAGATAATATGCATTATATGATAGCATTCACATAATCACTTGTCATTGTACTGCCTGTTTTGTAAGTGGGAGTTGTTCATGCAAGTGCGTGAGGTGCATTTCTATAAAGCAGCAGGGCCCCACCCCTGTGGCTACATAGGGATGGCTCTAGGGCTAATCTGTAAAGCAAATCAGTAAATCACAAATACACCATTTGCTCTAAAAATTGCTTTCAGGGACAAATTAAGTGTAAAACACTTGCCTGAGAGGCAAACTCCAACTCTGTCCATTGCTTACACCAGGCACCCAGACATGCTCTTGCCTGCAGAGCAGATAAGCTCCACCATACTTTGTTTAACCCAGCTACCTGCAGTATATCACACCTGCTCTCCCAACTTTGTCACATACAAGCCTGACACAGGGCAAATAAGAGAGCTGGTGTCCCTCCTGTGTGACTGCTAGGATCACCAGCTGGCAGAGCAGATGGGATTTGTCAACAGCTTGAACCTATGTAGACTACCTGCTTGACAAAGATGGGTCTGAGGGGCTCATCTGCCATCTGAGCATAAAGCCATGCTTTAGCCTGCAGCATTGCATACAGAGACATTTTGTGACTGAGCAATTCCTTTGTAAAAGGTATGATTTTTCCATGGTCATATATCAAATGAGGCACAGAACTGGAAACAGAATCTAAGAGTTCCAAACCAAAGTATCTTAATTTATAACTACTAGAGACAGAAAGACACAAGGGGAGGATGAGAGTGCCTCTGTCAGCCTTCAGGGAAATAGTCTTACTGACAACAGTATACAATAGTATTTCACAATTTAGCATAAGCGGGTTTGATTTCGAAATGAGCAGGCACTCAGAAATGATTACCTAAGACACCCTCCATATTTACATTTTTTCTGTCCCCATGTTCCCAGCAGTTCAGCACATCATTAGAGCACTACTAATTTTAATGGCTCTACCAGAAAATCGTATAGTGCGAAGCTGGCTGTGTTGGGAAAACTACTTAGTCTTTCTCTCACAGGGATGACATGGAGTCACAAGCACAGAAGGTGCACAAGATCAGGTTGTCTTCCTCCATTCTTCTTACAGGTCAGTACTTCATTTCTAATAATATTTGGACACCTCAAGGCTCAGCAATAAGTTTGAAATGGGAAAGAGACAGTACTTACAGGGTGAAGTATCCATGGGGTAACAGGAAAAAAACAACAACAACAAAAACTGTCTTCTACTGAAATAAAAATGATGCAGCAAACTACAGCAGCAGTAAATCAGAGTTAGGAGAATTGAAGCTGGTATCTAACCCACCAAATTTCATAGAGAATCAAAAATCTAAATACTTACACAAACAGGAACTTTATGTATCTATACATTAGTGCGCAAGTTCATGCTCCCCCTCCTCCTTTTTTAACCATGAACAGAGACATAAAGTATGGGTGAACTTCTGAACCCATTTTACTGCAGAGTGCAACATGACTGTTAGGTAAGAGGGAAAAAATCTTATGGACAGTCAAGACCCAGTGGCCTGAGAAACCTCCCCCATCAACAAGCAAGAGAGCACTTCAGAGATGATAAAATACTACATAAATCTTCTGAGAAACAGATAAGAAAATGAGCAAGGTCATAAATCCTTAATATTTAACTCCTCTCAACCCCACAGAAGAAACACTTTTTCAAAGAGGCAACCAGTAAAGTCAATCAATATAAGCTATAAAGAGATGATCATGTAGGGAGTGAAGGGAAATTCTGACAGTTGAGAGAAAAGAGAAAAAAAAAAAAAAAAAGAGAGAGAAAGCTAAGAACTGCAATGTCCTGCTGATTTGCTCAGACAGGTGAGAGAGTATCTTGTAACAGATGACACAGTTTTGTATCCCAAATAATTAGGAGAGACAATATGTATCTATCAATAAATGTGGGCTGAAGAATACACTCCCTAAGTTGACGATCATTTTTTTTTCCCACTGAGTGCAAACAGAATTGGCTTATGTGATATAAATGACACCATAGAGCATTTCATGCAATTATAGCCAAACACTCCCTAATTAGTATCAGCTATTAACCTTCAGTCAGTGGATCACTGAGGTCAAGACTGGAGATTTATAATCCAGCCAATTTACACCTATCTCCCTGCAGAGTCAGGACTGCAGAGTGGCCTCTCAGCAAAAGCATTTCCTATGCAAGCACAGAACCTTTTGCAAAGTCATTAGGCCCAATTAAAATTTGATGCAAATTGTACAGTTGGCCTGTCCACAAACCAAGGGAGATTTCCTAGTCAGCTGGAGGTAAACTAAGGCTGGCTGACACTGTTTCAGTCAGTACTGTTTTTCTGCAGGAAATATGGGGTTTGGATAAATAAAATTTCATGAAAACTATCTACTGCAAACAGAAAATAATTTGCTTTTGTCAAAAGCTAACTACAACAGATGTTTTCATCCATTTTAAAATGTTGTTATGAAAAAAACAGTCATTCTGATATGCCTGTGCCCCTGTTCTAGACTATGAGCTGGGCCAGCGGAGTCTCCCAAGCTGTGCCACAGACCCAAGATGCACATCAAGGACTCAGTAAAAAGACTATGGTGCACAAGAGAATGATTGTTGCAGTCTATTAGCCCACCCACAGAATGGAGGTGACAGGAGACATCTAAACTGTAACATCTACTATGTACAAATACATCTGTTTTCAGCCAAAGTTTTTACACAGAAAAAATATCATCTCAAAAAATCTTATGAGTGAGTAAAGCAACATGGGCAGACACAAGACATGCTGTTTAAGCAGAAGAGTGCAAAATTGCCTCTCGAAAACATCAGTAATCTCAAAGGACTTGATCCAAACTTATTAAGTTAATGAGACTCTTTCTATTAGCACCAACTGGCTTTCTATTTGATCCCACGCAGCAAGATGGAAATTTTATTCCTTTAAAAAAACAGCGTGGATTAAAAGAGCATTTCAAGTGAAAGAGCCTTTATACTCTTATACAACAGAAGTCGTACTTCTGCTATTTAACCAGAAATCCTGAGAGTCGAGCTCAGCGTAGTGCATTTCACTCCATGCAGAATTTTGTAAATATTTTGATGGATAGAAGGGAGCCCAGAAGCCACTATAATTGTAGAGCTTACTTTGCTTGAAAATGAAATATTTGTTTTTCAGTGTTGGAGTTGCAGTAGACCCAATGTAATTTAGACCCTGGCAGATCAGGAAGAATCCACCAGAATACTGGCAGCTTAAACTGCAGAGTTCTAGAGAAGCCTAGAATGCCCCAGGCTACTGCCCACTATTTGGCAGGGCTACCAAAGGACTGCAAATTTATAGCTATCCTATTTCTTTCTTTCTTTCTTTCTTTTTATTTTTTTTTTCCTTTTAAGACATTTATTTTGACCTCACAGAAAAGTCAGAATGCTGGGAAGCAGAACAAAGCTGACTAACATCCAAGAGAGAACAGGCAACATAGGCAGAGAAGTTAGAGAGAAAAGCAGCAAGAAGATATTACCAAAGGAAAAAATAAATAATAATAAAATAAAATAAAATAAAATAAAATAAAATAAAATAAAATAAAATAAAATAAAATAAAATAAAATAAAATAAAATAAAATAAAATAAATAATAATAAAAAAAAAAAAACAGCCCGCAGCTACCCTGGTAGTTTCCAGTTGCCACTCAAGGAGTCCTGACTGGACTTTTACATGAGTAAGTGCCTGAGAAATAGACCCATGGACACCCAGAGGCAAAGCCCTTTCCACTGTATTTCTTCCTGGGTGGGAGAACAGAAGTCTGCACTAGAAACAAGCAGATGAAGCTACATACAACAGGAGCTTCCCCTCATGGGTCATAGCACTGAAAACAGCCTACACGTGGCTTCACAAATCTAATTAGATACTGCACAGGGAAACGAGAAGATATTTCCTGTCTACGTTCCTTGCAGCCTTTGGCTCCTATCCAGAGGCTACCAGCAAGGTTGCCAGCAACTGCCAAGCGTAGCAATGGTGTCATCATGTAAACACCTGTCCA